GGCTAGCGGGGTAGGCTGCGTCTGGCGGGCGCCGGGTTTCCTCCTCCCCCGTGCGGAATGGCGTCAGACGTAACCCTGGTACGCAAGGAACGGCGGGGCGCGCGGGAGCGGAGCAAGGGTCGCGTGGCGCCCCGAGCACGCCGTGACCTCAGCGGGCGGTTCGAGTGGCCGCGTGGCGGCGCGGTGGGCGGAGCTGTGACGTCACTGTGACGTCGTTGGGAGGCCGGCGCTGCGGCGGCCGTTGCCGCGCGCGGTTTCTGGCACCTTCCAGCGGTGAGGCGGGCAGCCCAGCCGCGAGGCTCCTCGGGCGGAGCCCGGCAAAGCGCTGCCCCTCGCTGTGCGCGTCGCTGGGTTTTAAAAACTCCCAAGGGAGCCTGGAGAATAGAGGGGGAAGCGCGGCGCGTAGCAAAAGCGGGGCGAAAACCCTCCAGACTTGAGAAGAGTTGGGCAGGAGCGCTGGCCGGGCTGCCCCAACATGGGACTGGAGGGGAGCAGGTGTGTGGTTAGCTCCTGCATCTCTCCTGCGATGCTAAAATCGTACAGATTTGAAGAAGATGAGACTATTATGGGGGAGAAAAGAAGATGCCCCAGATGTCTTGCCAGCAGGCTAGGCAGTGTTGTAGTGCTTGAAGAGGAGGTGTCGGTATCCATACATTGTGGACTTATAAACAGAACTTAAATAATGAATTTCAGACATGACCGCCATCTCACTCTGCTTGGCAGGGAGGAAGAAGAGCTGTTAAAAAGCCCTAGTGTAATAATGCCCAATGGTCACAAGAGGTGAATGGTTTGCCTTAATAGCAGACATTAAAACTGTGAAGATTTCCCACTGTCTGGCATTTGGAGAACTTCTGTGTGTGCTTTTATGCTATGCTGGAACTGGTGTAAGTGTGCTCTTGTAGTTGCCCTGTGGAGCAGTGCTCAGCTGAAGTGCCAACATAAAGTAAGAGGAAATTGTTAGTTGTGAACCGTCAGTGTTAGGTTAAGGGTTGGACTAGGTGATCTTCAAAGTCTTTTCCAACCTGAACGATACTGTGAAATGAGGACAGGGTAAAAATACATGGAAGGTTCCTCTGATGGCAGTTTCGCAGACAATTCAAAAGAATATTCAGGGAATTATCACTTCGAAGTTTGGAGAGAGTACATTATTTTCCAATGCTCATGGTTTCTAGAGCATGAGACACGTTTGTGCGGTTTCTAATATTTCGTCACAAGGTATATAAAAAATACTTCCTAAACTTTAACAATTAACACTAATCTTGACAGTACACAATAAAATTTATTATTTGCTTATATATAGCTAAATTCATATACTTCATGGGGAGTGAGGTAATATACATGCAATGGAACCACATTAATTTGGCATCTTTGGTTGTTGCTCAACTCAAATCTCAAATCATGTCAGACTTTCAAAATTACGAAGTTGACTGCAAAGATACTCTTAAAAATTAAAAGCATTCTCTGCTTCATTAATTTGCCATTTGGCTTTGAGCTTCTATGGTGCACTTCACTCATGTTTTTAGACTTTTTACCATGATTGTAAGGACTGTAATTTTATTTAGTAAGACTTCTGTGTCTTACATGATTTAGTCAGATGTATGTCAATTAACATCACAAGAGTCTCTATAAGACCCCTGCTCTCTCTTATCTTTAAAAGACGAAGGAGCTGAAAGTACCTTTTAAGCTGCTTTAAGAAATCGCAGTAGTGTAAATTCTTGTGCTTTAAGCACTTGATGTGGTCTGATACCCACTGACATCCATTCAAAGGTTTTTCCTTTCTGCACACAATGCAGACTTCTGTAACTCTTTATTACTGTTGGGTTTTGCTTTCTAAATATGTATGCTCCATACTAAGCACTGCATGTTGACCTTCACAGTTAACCCTTCTGATGCATGTGGAGGGACATTATAGCAATGTTATTTTAATTTTTCTCCTGGGAGCTGTTTTTGAAACCTGCGTCTTAAGACAGTTGAATTGGCTCTTGTTAAACTTTTGAAATAAGGAAATAATGCTCTCAGGGAAAATATTGAACCTGTGAGGTTTTCAGCGCTAAGATTAGTATACTAAAAATCAGTCTGTAAAATGAACTGTTGTCTTCTCTGCTTTACACCTGACCATGCAAATGTCTGCTCTGCAAATGACTGCCAGCAGTCTTGATGTAATACCCTTTCATGAAGGTGTAAATGGTACAAATGGCATATTTGTGGGTTTGCATATGGTACTGTTAGTGGAAGCAGAAGTTCTGCCTAATATAAAAATATACTAGTTTAGAAGAAGTGTTTTCACCAGTAAGAAGAGGTATCTTGAATGGAGAGGACTTGATTGACTTGTTTAAGTCCATTTGGGCCTTACTAAGTGTGAATATGGAGCAACACAGTGGTAAGAACTGGTCTGTAAGTAAAGTAGGCAGGAAGAGGGGTTGATCAAGGTGTCCAGTGTTTTACTTTCTGAAACATTCTGCAGTAGGACAGAGTAATACTGAAATTTTATCCTTCTCTGTTAAATATAGCACCTGTAGTGTATATTATGCATGAATCCCGCACGTGTCATACACCTTCCTCTGTAAGACAAAAAATGCTGCAGGACTTCCAGAGGCAATGCTGATGACAAAGTCTTTTCTGGCTTTGTGGGTTTGAATTGCCAGAGTAAACTAAAATGACTCAGGGTGCATTTTCAATGCACTATTACTTTCTTACATGTATTAACATCATTAGACTGTTTGCCTTGGTGTGGTTTGCCTTGAAGGTTCCTATGTTAGTCTTTCAGTTATTCAATGTGGTTACACCTGAAATACCTCAGGTTTTTTTTACCACCTCAGACTATTACACACTGGAACAATAGGTATTTTGCAGTCAGAATTATTGCTATGTAATTCTGTCCCGAAGGAAGGAAAAAGAAACCAAATGTGTAAATTCCAGTACTAAAGGAAGCATTGCAAAAGAGCCAACCTGTTCTCTTTAAGAAGTACACTGCAGATAAAAGAAAAAGATGTCCTTATGGGTCTACACTGAAACTCAGGAGAGCATGGGTTTTTTTTATCAGTTCTGCAATAAACTTCTTGTTTGGTCTTTGACAAATACCTTAGAACCCATTTCTTGTGTTGAGATCATCAGTGATTAGGTGGTTGAGTGCCTTGGCCTCTCTTCATCTTACCGCATGGAAATGGGCCAGCCTGAGCTGCTGCTGCTGGTTATCAGCCAACTAGTCTGATCTGTGCTGCTGTCATGGTGGTGTGACCTGGTTTTAGAAAGGGCTTGAGTTATGACCCAAATCATAAATCTTACCTCATGACAAAACAGTACCGAGTAATTTGTACCATTGTGATTTCTGAATTGTACTGAAGCTGTTCAGAAGACCTGCTTTTTTTTTTTTTTTTTTTTTAATTTTAATCTTTGCCTTTGAAATTGTTCAGGAGAAAGGTGTATCTCTCCGTAATTTTTTCAAAGACTGGTTTATCAACATGAAAGTGTAATTCTCTTTCATGGGCTGGGCTTGAAAAATTCTTGATGCTAGGATCCTTAAAAAATATTCTGCTGTGGCAAACATATGCTTTGAGGGTTACTTTTCAATACGGTTATGCTGTAAGTCCTTGTCATTGACAGTATATCGATGACTTTATATTTATTATGTCTTTTCCAGGGCATTTGGATGAAAGACAGGAACCTGTTCATCCAAACAGGTGAAAAACAAAGATGGAAAACATTATAGACTGAAGAGTGAATAAAAATGCCTGATGATTGGTGTGCCTCTAATCTTTGGTGCTTGCTGTGTTTTATACAGTTTAAGAGAGAGAGGGCAAATGTGCTACTGCTTGGAACAGCTGGAAGGGTAGAGTCTCTGAGATGCTGCAGTTGCCAAGGGTCACTACATATTAGGCTCCTTCTTAAGACAAAGCTAAATTCATGCATAGCATCTACTTTTGTGTAACGTTTTTATCAAACAAGTCTTGGTTTTATTTTAAGCTCTCTTTATAGTAATTTCCTGTTGCAGCATATTTATGCTTTGTGCAGTTGTCTCAGACAATGTTGTGATTTTTTTTTTTTAAAATGACAAGTGTTATATTGACTTGAATATCTGGATTGCATTCAATACATTTTCCATTACTGAAAAGATAAAAGCTATTCTATTCACATTAAAAAGAACTGCTGCTGTATTGTCACATGCCTATTTATAAAATATTTGGGAATGGATCATGGAAATATTTGCTGCACCCCAGGGTGCAGAGTGGCAG